AAAAGGAAAAAAAAACAAAAAGAAACTACATCGTGAGGAATACGGGTCACAGCGTCGCTGAATAAGCAACCAACCGACCGAGCGGCCGTGTCGCCGCTTGCTCTCCACAAGCAAGCAAATTACGTAAGGCCAGAAACGAGAGCTCGTTTAAATGCCGGTTCACCGATGACAACGAATAATATATCGCTCTCTGAGTATTTTTTTCCCGTAAGAGAAATGCTTATTTCTGCGAGATTTAACCGTGCGGAATTTGGAATCAAAATATTATGCCCTGTTTTGGAGGTTGTAAAATAATTATAATTATGAGATAATAGCAATAATAAATAATTTGTCGTAAAATAAAGATGTGACAAAATAATAAATATTAATAGCAGATTTATAAATATGACATAATATAGATATGTGTAATAACATATAAGATTAGTAAAAAAAAAAAATTATATAGAAATAATAAATTAATAATACAAGAAAAATATACATATAACGTAATATCTATATAAATTTGACAAAAACATATAATTATTAATTTTTAATAAAGAAATTGGAAACAAAAAATCTAATCATGTTAATTTAACATTTAACATTTAAGTATTTTTCGAAATTATTGAAAGTTGATATTACCTTATTTAATTTCTAAACAAAATAATTTATTTTATTAATAATAAGTTAATAAATGAATTCTGCAATTTTCAGACATTGTGAATTTTATTAATTTTTATAGTCAATAGTTTTTAGCATTAATAATAAATTGTATTGTAATAGCCTATGCGCTACATGCATCGTATCATATTCTTTATCTCACGGCAACTTGTGCAGGTATGCATTTATGCACGCACGGATCTTTCACAAACGATGAGTTAGTTTATTACGAGCGACTAGCAAGTGGGGGAGCAAGCGTTATCGTCGTAATTGCGAGTTAACTTTGGAACGCGATAGCGCATTCACAAGTGTCATCATCGTCGTTTTCTCGTGAGCGCCGAAATCTAGAAAAATAAAAAATGGAATAAAATTTCTTGTTAAAAAAATTCTTCAAGAGACAAAAAGTACGAAAACGTTGAGTAATACCTAATCAACATAAAGAAATAACGATTGTTTTTTTTTATTACTCGATCGAATCGTTCGCACTAATTAGAAATAACATGTATCGTGACTTCTCAATGTTACAAATGTTTGCTGAGTGAAAATCGTTTTATAAAAAAATTGTTTTGATCAAATCTTGACTAGTTCAATAAAATAATTCGAATTATTCATTAACATTCGTGAGCAATTGAAGTGAAAATATTGACGGAATAATTAGATACTGCAGTCGCGAGGCAGCGCCAGTTCAATAATTCGCATAATGCGCAACAAAGTCGTCTTCGGACTCTCGAGCTTGCTCGTTGTGTAACGAGGTCGAATATCATGTTCGCTTAATCCGAAAGCGTCACGAAACTCATGAAGATTTAGAGAACGCCGTCACATGCCGGTGAGAGACTCAACACTGTTACTCATATATAATCATACACCGTAATCCATATAACATCGACGAGAAATGATATTAATTAAAAATTAAATCTATTGGAATTTTATTGCAATAAAATTTACATTTTCTTCGGAAGTAACTTTACAGGATAATATTTAAAAATATATGAAAATACAAACCTCGTATGCAAAAATAAATATATATGCATGTATGTACAGCAATATATTATAAAATATTTTACAATATAATTCTATAATAAAAAATTCTATAATAAAAAATAACTTTCGTAAAGAACATACTTTCTTAACATTTTGATTTTTCTACAATTTTAGTATTAATAGCATATACATAATATTCAGTTTTATTTTTATTCCGTCAATGTTAATGAATACGATTCTAAGTATATGTATATACACAAAGTAGATGTAAGGTTTCTTTGAACGCACGTGATAGCTATTGTAGGCAAGATCGTGAGATATATCTATTTTTTGTGTACAAGCATGATAAGATCAATTGTGATTGTAATCGAAGATAAAGACTTCATTTTGTTAAAAGGATGTTTTTATCAGAGACGGTCATCAGAAATGCCTATCTCGTCATTCTGTATACATCGAAAACGCAACTCATCCAAATTACAGCATTGGTTTCTCGACACTTGGGTCCATTACACGTTACTCATGCAAACTGAACTTACTAACTTGCAAATCTCAGCATCTCAGCATCATTCTGACAGTTCAAACATTATTCAA